CATCTACAGACCTGTTAGCTCTGTAGGCAAACTGCAGGGGGTCCAGGAGAGGGTCTGTGATGGATTTGAGGTGGGACAACACAAGGCGATCTAATGACTTCATTACTACAGATGTCAGGGCGACAGGTCTGTAGTCATTTAGACCTGTGATCCTGAGTGTTTTGGGGACAGGGATGATGGTGGAGGTCTTGAGGCAGGCTGGCACATGGCATATCTCCAAAGAGGTCTTAATGATAGCTGTAAACACTGGTGACAGCTGGTCAGCACAGTACTTCAGGGTGGATGGACAAACAGAGTCTGGTCCGGCTGCTTTCCGAGGGTTCTGTCTCTTGAAGACTCTGTTAACATCTCTCTCCTGGATGGAGAGAGACGTTCCTGTAATGGGGCTGGAGGGGGAGGGAGCCGTTGAGGTGTGGAGCTGTAAAGAGGCCTCAGCTCCTGCTGTGGTGAAGCTGATGAGCTGATGTTCAAGCTCAAGCTGAAGGCTGGTGTCACGGGGGATGGTATCAGGACTGTCTCATTGTCTTTCAAAGCAACAGTAAAACTCATTCAGGTTGTTGGCCAGTCGTTGGTCGTTAGCCGAGTGGGGGGCTTTAGGTTTACAATTTATGATCTGTCTGAGTCCTTTCCAGACAGAAGTGGAGTCATTAGCTGAGAATTGCTGTTGTAGTTTCTCAGAGTACAGTTGTTTAGCTTCTCTCACCGCCTTGCTAAACTTGTACTTTGACTCTTTAAACCTGATTTTATCCCCACTTTTAAATGCAGCATCCTTCTCTAGCCATAGCTGTCTGAGTCTGGCTGTGATCCAGAGTTTGTCATTGTTGTAACTCACCCTGGTGCGTGATGGAACACAGCTATCTTCACAGAAGCTTATGTACGATGTCACAGCCTCTGTATACTCATCCAGGTTGTTGGTGTCATTCCTGAATACATCCCAGTCAGTACAGTCCAAGCATGCCTGAAGATTCCCCACAGCTTCTCTTGTCCACTGCTTTGATATCCTCACAACAGGTTTGGAAAGCTTTCATTTCTGCCTGTATGCAGGAATCAGATGGACTTATAAAGTCTAGCCTAATTATTTTGAGGCTGATGAAGTGATAATTGTTAAAGTAATGTTTTGCATGTAATATTTCAGACTCGTTGAGCTTTGTGTCTTCATTGTGCCCGTGCCGGGAGTTAACGACACAGAAGCCTTCTTGTGTGAGGAGGAGGCGATTTTCTCAGCTTCTTCAGAAGTTCATAATTCCATCATGTTATCTTTTTTTTTTTTTACTAAGAGTAAAACATTTTTGTAGATGTTGAAAGCCAGAGGCATAGAAGAGCATCATTCTTTTGAGAGAATTTTTGAGTTATTTTTAGAAAATAAATGTCTTGAATTGTCTCCTGCCTGTTTACATCCCATTTTGATGCAACAACAGCATGATTACGTGTTCATATTTTATGTAAACCACTGATGTCTGTGTTTTTCATTGCAGAACTTGAGAAAACTTGGTCTTCCTTTCTTAAAGGAATAGTTCACACAAAAAAATTGTTTACTTGCCCTCATGTCATTCCAAACCTTTGAGACTTTTGTCTATCTTTAGAACACAAATGAAGATACTTTTAATTTTCTCTCATAATGTTTTGTTAATCCATTGAAAGTCTAGATAATCAGTATTTTCAAGCTTAAAAAATACAGAGTTATTGTAGAAGTAATCCATGCCAACATTTATATTTGAATAAATCTTAAATTATATCATAGCGAACATGTCCGTTCAGCAGAAAATGTTGGTCTCCCAGACTTGCAATAGAGGACAAAAATTAAGAGAATATTAAATATATTTATTTGTGTTCTAAAAATTAGCAGAGTTTGTATGGGGTTGGAACAACATGGGGGAGAATAAATTATGACCATTTTAATTGTTTGGTGAACTAACCCTTTAAAGAGCAGCCCTCAACGTACATGAAAATGTGTGAGGTATTTGAATGTTATGTCTGTTTTAATGTTTCAGTAAAGAAGTAGCTTTCTGAAAGCAATATATTTATTTAATCAATATTACATGCACTCACACTAGTGCTGCCATTGTAGCATTCTAGTGTGCTGTGGTAGACAGAGACATTAAACAACCACACAAAGTGGTTGAAATTCTAAAACAGACCATTTACCTATCCTTACAGATGTGGATGCACCTCTATCTGAAAATGGATAGATTTTAATTAAATGTTTTCTTTTCAAACATATAACAAAGCTTGTTGCGTCAAAACAACCCAGCGCTGGGTTTGTCCCTTTTTGACCCAGCGCTGGTTTGCCAAAATAACCCAAATTGGGTTGTTTTTAACCCAGCAGTTTTTAGAGTGTAATGTCGTCACGACATAACTCGTAGTGACCGACAGATAGGGAACTCATTTAATGCACCCTGCCTAGGCCCAGACCTGTACATCATCTTACATTTCATGCAGTTGCTGACAAACAAACATGATGATGACTAACTCCATGATGTAGCCTATTAGAATGCAAGACATAATTGCAAAAAATTCCCCTTATGAGTTTTTGTCTTGTATTTCATATCATAGGATAAAATTTAGAAATATCACACAAGCAAGAGTGCTGTTTTTACTAGAGCCCGACGATATGGGTTTTTGGGGGCCGGTACCGATACCGATTAGGGAGTAAAAAAGGCGATAGATAATTGATATATCGGCCGATATTCTTTGTGTATATTATAGTACAGTACCAGTCAAAAGTTTGGACACTTTCCCATTCGTGCATCCAAACTTTTGACTTGTACAATATATAGAATACAGCATAATAATATAATAAACATAATATATATATATATATACATACACACATTTTTTTGCAATGATCACTCAAATGTGGTGATCAAACACTAATAATGACGTGACAAAGATATGTAATGGAGGCAGGGCATTTAACAATAAACTTTATTATCCAAAATAAGTCTGACATCAGTGCACTGAACAGTAAAGTTGAAGTTTGTTTGTTGTTTGTTGTTGTGACATATACCTCTGTAAATTTAAATTCACATCTCGCACACTTTAATACCCTTTGAATGTAACGTGTTTGTTCCCTTGGAACTGGAATCATGGTGGAATATCATGTGAAGTCCACTTCTCAGGGCACTTACGGTCGAATAAGACAAAGCTTGAACGCTGCTGCCTGAACAAGAGACCTCCTTACTGAAGTGAAAGTGTTGGCTGGTTTCACTATCTCGTGAATGTGTCGGCGGATCTCCACCAAATTCGGGGGATCCCTTCAGCTCCAAGAGCCCTCTCAAACGCCACCCTCCGTGTCCGAATTTAACCGCCCGTAACATGAGGGCTATCGACGCGGGGGTGGTCTCATTCGAAAGGGGGCCTCGAGATGTACACTCGATTCCACTTTCGAGAGGGTTCCTCGAGCTGAAGGGATCACCCGAATTTGGTGTGGATCCGCTGCGCCGTTACGGAGATATGGCCGTTCAAAGTTTCAATGGTATTCCATACACTTAAGCTTTAAAGCATTTCATCCAGGTCGCCAGTAGCAAACAATGGAGTGCGCTCTGTTGGACAAACTACGTAATTACACCATTTACAAACATTTTATCTGCGTTTTATGTTCTGTAAAAACAATGTCATATCAGTGGCATATCGGCAGCATATTCGCTGATACCAATATATCTGCGACAGGCTAATATCGGCAGACAAAATCGGCAAAATGATATATCGGTCGGGCTCTAGTTTTTACCCAAATATCTGCACGACTGCAAATGTAATATTGTTTTTAGAAAACAGTTCACTAAACAAATTTATATTGTGTTTTAGACTTGTCTGTATTATGTTTTTACTCCTTTCCAAGCAACACACAGCTGTGTTTTGTTACGGAATGAATCTACATTTTTGAACAAATCGAGTGAGCAAATGATTCAGTGACCCATTCTTTAAGACAGTCAATTGCTGTGTTCTTGAATAAATTAGCTGTTTTAACTAATTGGTTGAATGAATGACTGATGCTGCATTCCATTCTGAAGGGCTCATCCCTTCGAATGGTTTGCCCTTCAGAGTAAGAGCTTCGAAAGGAATGAAGGGTGTAGGGGACAAAAAAATTGTTCCTTAGAACACATTTCTGCGTCATCTTGCAGAGTCAGTTAAAGAGGTGCCGTTGTCATACAATTAAACTTGCACAAACAATCATGGAAGCCAAGTGTCCATAAGTTGTTCCCTTCAAAATCTTTCATTCCAATGTGCCCTTTGAAGTTGCCAGTTTTACCAGAATTCTAAAGCACCCCTTTAGAACCCCCAACAAACCCATTCAGGATCTGAACCTGTTCCACATTTTGTTAGAAATTCCAGTAGGAAAGCTATACACATATTTGACATAATAAAACAGTCCAACACTCCAGCATGATCCTACGCAGACGCTACAACAAATATTTTATTGAGTATCTACTGGTGCTTTTCCACTGCATGGTACACTTTGCGTTTCCATTACAGTTTAGTACCGCTTTAGACTGGGTGGGATTATAGACATGTCGTTATAGTTGCACCACCTCTATTTGCCGCTAACTCCTGAAAAAATTTTTCATTCCGTGTCGTCCCATCAAGTTCTCGCTGGATCCGCTCCTCGGCTATCAATGAGAGGAATGTCTGCACTTCCTCAACAGACCACGAAACAGTCATTATTTTGTTGTTTAAAAAAAGGTGTGCTCATTTTGAAACTGTTCAAAAAAAGTTGCATTCGATCCTCACTGTCTGGGATGATTTAATCTAGCGGGTCTAGTGTCATGTGTCGCAAGTTCAGTGACGCAGGTAGTGACGATTCTCTCCATTAAATAAGTGATCAGCAGGGTTTACACGTCACATTTTGGTAACGGTACGGCTCGCATGGAACCTCAGCCGAGGTGGTACTGAAAAAAGTACCAGGTACCAGGTACTGTACACAGTGGAAAACCCCCCAAAAGTGAGCCGTACCGTGCTGTACCATGCAGTGGAAAAGCCCCATATAAGAAAGGGACACCAACCTGATTACAAGAGCTGATGTCTACTCCGCCCTTCATATACTCCAGAACCTTGTCAATATTTCCTGCTCTTGCTGCTCGAAGGAAACTGGTGTTGCTGTCCGACTAGAAAAAATAGGAAAATTACATCATTAGTACAGGTTAACATATTTTTGTTTACATTTATTAATTTAACAGATGCTATTATTCAAAACAACTTACAAATTTGGAATACAACAAGTGATTCATCTTAAGGAGACAATAACACAAGTGCTTAGCAATACGTGCTTAGAAGTTCCAAATATCTTACAGGATGGTACAAGCCAGAACAGGGAGGGATATAAGAAATAGTGAAAGCATTTTTTAAATTCAGCAGGATACAGTTCCCTTTCAGTCAGTCACTTTCGATGTCACGGCGGTGACCGACGAATTGGTCTTCTAATTGGTTTACACTTGAATCTACTTCAAGTGTAAACTAAACAAGCCAATGCATACTGGCATGCGATGATTGCATCCATCTGCCGCTGATCGCAGCAAGAGTATAAATAGGCAGCAGATGCACTGCATATTAGCTTTTTGCTTCAGAGCCGAACGATATCATCGTTTTGCTCCTGCCAAGCTTTGAGTGAACAGACAAGTTCAGCATGCTCTCTGGGAGCTTCTTGTGTTGGCCGAATGGTGCTACAGTCGTTTTTCCCATGTCAAGTGGGTTGCACACATCAGACTGCACTACCCCCTGTTTGTGTTGCAGGCGGCCATTTCCCCTGTGCGCTTCAGCACGCTAAAAGAGCCTTTTTTCCCTAAAAGTGCATTCACAGGTGGGCACGTCTTTTTAAAGACGATGTTGTGTCTGTGCCAACCCAACGCTGCATCTTCGTAAAGACGACGTTGTGTCTTGGTATAGATGCCGTTTCACCTGTGTGTTTCTGGATGTGGTCGTTACCAGGTGGTGGATGATGGTCATGATTGCTGCCTCACGTGCCTGGGCATTAAGCACGCTGAGGTTGTGTTCGTGGATGAGTCATGCTCTCATCGGGGAAGATGACCATCTCGGCGTTTTGGGCCAGGCTCTATTACCTCAAAAGGGGTGGAGTTCCGGTGCCTCTGTCTCGATCTAATTCTCTTCTTGGCAGAAGTCAAGGTAAGTGTTGGAACCAGGTAAGTGTTGCACCGCACACTCAGACCCCGCTTCGGTCGGCCCACAAGCTGCCCCACTGCGGGTATGACGGTGGTTCCGCTGGTCCCACTTGTATGGTATCTGGAAGCTTGGCTAGCGCTGCCCAGCCCATCTTGCTGGCTCCTTTGGACCATCAGACTCGGCTGTGCGATTCAGTTCGCCCGGCGTCCCCCCAAGTTCAGGGGCATCCACTTCACATCAGTGAAGGCAGCCGATGCCCCTGTCTTGCGTGTGGAGATCGCAGTCCTGCTGGCGAAGGACGCGATAGAGCCGGTCCCTCCAGCCGATATGAAGACGGGGTTTTACAGCCCCTACTTCATTGTACCCAATAAAGGCAGTGGGTTATGACCAATCTTGGACCTGCGTGTCTTGAACCGGGGCCTTCACAGGCTACAGTTCAAGATTTTAATGCAGAAACTCATCTTTGGTTGCATCCATCCCCGAGATTGGTTTGCAGCGATTGGTTTGGAAGCGTACTTTCATGTCTCAATCCTGGACAGGACACGGAGGTTCTAGGTGACCTACGCCATGAGGTAGTGGGCGCCATCACTTCGGCGCGAGCACCGTCTACGAGACACGCTTATGCCTTGAAGTGCAACCTGTTCATCGAGTGGTGTTCCTCTCATCGAGAGGACTTCTTAAGATTTCTGATTAGAGTCGTGCTCTCCTTCTTGCAGCAAGGGTTGGAACATAGGCTGTCTCCCTCCACCCTTAAAGTTTACGTCGCTGCTATTTCTGCTAACTACGACCCCGTGGAGGGGAGAACGGTAGGGAAGCAAGACCTGGTCATCAGGTTCCTTAGGGGGGCGAGAAGGTTGAACCCTCCTGACCTCCCTCTATACCTTCTTGGGACCTGTTTCTGGTGCTCGATGCACTACAGCGGGTCCAATTTGAGCCTTTGCAGTCAGTTGAGCTAAAGTTTCTTTCAATGACTGGTTACATTGGCTTCCATCAAGAGGGTAGGGGACCTACACGCAATTGCTGTCAACAAATCGTGCCTAGAGTTTGGGCTGGCTGACTCCCAGGTAACCCTGAGGCTCTGGCCCAGCTATGTGCTCAAGGTTCCTACTACTCCCTTCAGAGATCAGGTAGTGAACCTGCAAGAGCTGCCCCCGGAGGAGGCAGACCCAGCCCTAGCTTTGCTTAGTCCCGTTGTGCTTTAAGATTGTACGTGGACCGGACGCAAAGCTTCAGGACCTCAGAAAAGCTCTTTGTTTGTTACGGAGGCCAGCAGAAGGGGAATGCCATCTCCAAGCAGAGGATGGCCCACTGGATAGTGAATGCCATCACCCTAGCTTATCAAGCACAGGGTGTGCCTTGCCAGCTGGTTTCAGGTTGTGAGCTCACTCTACTAGAAGTGCTGCTTCCTCCTGGGCGCTGGCTCGTGGCGCCTCGCTTACAAGCATTTGTAGAGCTGCGGGCTGGGTGGCCCCCAACACGTTCACTAGGTTCTATAGCCTTCGTGTTGAACCGGTATTCTCGTGTGTTCTCACCTCAAACGGGTAGAAGAACTGAGAGGCCTCGGTTTACAGCTGACACAGCTTGCTAAAACCACTCCAGAGAATATGTACTGTAGACCCTGTCAAGTTCCTCCATCCCCTCGGCAGCCAGACGTGGCAGAACGTCCAGTGCCAGGCCCTCACTCAATGAATCCTTGAGAACCAGTAGGTGGTTGGATTCTATATGTAGAGATCTAAGGGGATCACATATGTGTAACGTCTACGGTATAGCCTCAGAGCCCGTGTTTCCCCCGGCAGACTTTCTGCCATTTCCCAAGAGAGTTGTAATCACCTCTAAATCTTCCATATGGACCTAAAAGGTTTCCATATGTGTAGGTGCTTCCGAAATCTCCTTCGAGAAGGATGGGGCATCCGCAATGTTTCTGTTCCAAGTGGAACGGGTACATTTTCCCAGTGTTATCCAATCTCACTGAGTGGGTAGTGCAACGGCAATAGTGACTGGTATTCTTGTTTTGCAAGCCCTGGCCTACTCAAAAAAAGGGGCACAGGAGGCTCGTACAGGACACTGGAAGGGGCAGCATTCGTGGCGGTTTGGTAGGGATTCCCAATTCCTCAGTCATCGACATGACATCGAAAGTGACTGACTGAAAGGGAACGTCTTGGCTACGTATTGTAACCATCCTTCCCTGAAGGAGGGAACGGAGACGTCACGTCCCGTCGCCACAGCTGCTGTACCACCGCTGAGCATCCAGGTCACCGGCTCGGCTCCTCAGCAAAAACCTAATATGCGGTGCATCTGTTGCCTATTTATACTCGCGCTGCGATCAGCAGAAGCTGGATGCAATCATCGCATGCCAATGTGCATTGGCTCGTTTAGTTTACACTCAAAGCAGATTGGTCTCTCTGGCGAGATTCCCAATTCATTGGTCACAGACGTGACGTCCCCATTTCCTCCTAAGGGAACGAGGTTTACAATACGTACCTGAGACGTTAAGTGCTCACAAAAAAATATTAGTTTTCAGCTTTTTCTTGAATATTGTCAACATTTTAAATAGTTTATCTCTGAATCACTATAGTCTGTAGTATAACGTCCTGAACATTACATCACTGAAAGTAAATAAATGTGGATGTATGTAAAGGTGGATTTTGGAGTATTCTATTCCATAGAAATGTCCATCATGAACAACATACTTAATATAAACAGTTAAAAAAATGGGCTGAAATGCCCAAGGCTAGAAGTCTAGAGGTTAATGCAAGTATAGATTTGTAAGGAGCTAAAAAAGCACCATTGCAGTGCACCATTAATACCTCAGCAGAAAGACTGCAGGCACTCAAATTTGCAATAAACAGCAAATGTTTAGTGATGAACTGCACAGCACCTTTAGTGAGCTGAGTATATAGATGTAAACCCAATGCAGAGCTTCTGAGAGAAAATTAATTTAGTGAGTGTGTTTATGTGCAAAAAAGTTTACAAAAGTACATTGTGCATATTTTTTAATACAACTCACAAAAAAGATCACACCAGGAAACATAGTAATTGTAAATAGTAAATTCGTGGCTAAAAGAATGGTGCTTGACCATATAATCAATGTAGCTTGCAGCCCCCTCAGTTGGTGAAAATAATTTGCTCTGACAACCATGAGACTATGTTGGTAGGATTGTATTTACAAGGCATTTTGAATGTGCTGTAAAACTTGGACATTTCCAGGGACAGCTCCAGTCAGGAACAGGACACAGTATGTCTGACCACCTATAAGCACGCTCAAACAAATGCAAACAAAGGCTGTTTTGATAGACAGGGGGCTGATCTCTGTGATCTCTATATAGAGAAGGCATCTTAGGATAACACTCTGGAGAGTTAGGTCTGTGCTCAGAGAGATTTTGCTTTATGAGAAATGTAACTGCTCTAGTAACGCTAATTTTAAGTAATGCTACCTCTCAGGTGGGTGTGCAAGCTTACTATGTTCAACCAAACAATTAAGTTGATAAACATTGTGATAAAAGAGTCCATGAAATTAAAACTGTTGATTTTGTGTGCGTGTGTGTGTTTTAGTTCATGTATGTGAACTACTATCTGTATTATGTGTGTAAATTAATCTTTCTCTTCCAAGAAAATAATACCAAAAATCTTGATGATCTTGTTCAGGAGGGTGTACTCAACTAGATATAAGTCATTTGGGACATGTCATATAATGTGCAGACTCCTCATGGTACAATGTAAACTACTATTAGACATTTCATAAACTAATGCCATCATTTGAAAATCAATGTTTGTATGTTCTGAATCATTTAATAAATTATAAAAAATAAAACGTTAAATACCTGTCAAAATAACTTGCAACTAAAACTTTGCCAGCCTAACCATCATAAAAGCCAACAAACATAAGTCAACAGATCACTAGTTGGCTAGTTAAGCATAAAACATTCATTCAGAGAGTGCTTTTTTGCTTGAATCAATACACTGTGTGAAGGATTTATGAATAATTCAG